ACTTTAATATCAGCGATTTACAGGAGTGAATAATGCTGCTTCATTATTTTTCCTTATGCAGCCCTTCAGCAAGTACCCTGTTGACACACGCCTTCTTTAAACAGGTGCGTATTTAATTCCTAAACCTTCCAACACAAGAAAATAAAAACACGGGCACTTCAATCCATTCTGGTACTGATTCCATTTTAGCTGATATTCTAATTCCCTTGACAGCTTTCTCTTTTCCACGTCACTGAAAATGAAAGTTGGCTTAAAAAAAATATTGTTATGAGAATCGAAAAGGAAAGCCAAACATCCTGCAACATGAATGGAGTGGGAAAAGAGGAAAATGCAAAATGACGCCAAGATATCAGCCAATCAGTGTTTTTTTCTGTAAAATAAATGAGGAAGATAAGAAAAAATAAATAAATTAGTGCAGTCAAGAAAAGAAAAACCTCCTTTTAGCCCGGTTTATATTTAGTATGGAGAAAAGGTAGCTTTAAAAAATACATAAATAATATGGCCTCCTGAGTGGCTCCACCAGTGGAGAAGTTCACTTAGCGCAGGTTGGGTAGGAGTTCAACAAGAAATGGGTGATGTCACTCGCCAGTAGTACCCAGAATTCCCCCGAGCTGCGGCACGCAATTGGCTGGTTGCTGTCTAGGGTAGGGCGGGGTTAGTTGTCTTGGCAACCACAGCGGCCCCTGTGGCCTGCTGTGCTCTAGCAGGCAGGCGCTGCTGTTGGTGAGGGAGGCACTTCTTCCCCAGGCAGTGCTGAACCTTCTGTATGGGGCTGTTCTACCTGTGGTGTGTTAAAAGGCGAGTGACTCGAATGTGGGTGGGTTGGAGGAGTCTTCTTACAGTCTGTCTCTTCTCACTTCCTCGTTCCCTCCTGTGTGCAGTGGGGATCGAAGCTCAGAGCCAAGATGTGAAGAAGGCAACCTAATTATTAAAGTTAAAAAGGAGATAAACATACGTGTTGAAGTTAAGAATATCGAAGTCGCCAAGTGATTTTTTTTCCATTTTAAAATATTACTGATGCATCAAACCCATTGTCATCTGATAGAAACCAGATATTTCTTTAGATAAAAAACTGGAACATATCTTAAATAGAAAAATGGGGCTGAATATAGTTACTAAAATATAACGTCTTTCTTCCATAAAAGCATTCAGTTTGAATATTCAGGTGTTGTTTAAGAAATGTCCACTTTAAAAAATATGTAGCTGTCTTCTGTAATTCAGCGAAATGGGATATCATTGATTGGAAGGCTCTGTGCACTGATGCAGCCACTTAGATTGCTTGTCAAAACTCGTCAAGATGATGTCACCAGGAATATACTCCAGACATAGACGATCGGTAGGTGGCACTTGTGGTGCTTTAGATGTAAGTGAAAATATTAACATCTGTCCTCCTTCTTAAATATGGAATATTAATAGGGAAACGTGTAACTTAAGGGAAGTTTTGGTAGGTGAAAATAAAGTTTCCAAACATCGTTAACGATATGAATTTGTGAATATAGATTTATTTAGCTGGTTGTGGTAGGGTATTCCACTTTCTTGCTAAACATCTGCATCAAATTCTTTGAATTCTCGGTCACTTCTGGTTGTTTCAGAAATGGTTGGCGTGCTTGTTTTAACTACATTTTGCTGTGGTGATGGTAGCAAAGGAAAATGACCAGTTTGTAGCCCACAGGAAGGGCAGCAAGTGAGATCCCAAGACTTGATCAATGTAGCTCCATGCTGTCCAGTTGCTACCATGACTAAACATGTAGTGCTGTATCGACTAGACCACACCATCACAATTGGCCACCCCCATGGACTTTAATATGGTTTTGTCACTCGTGATTAGATTGTAACCTAACATTGATGGACTATGTTTATCTAGAATATTTTGTCAGGTTAGAAATTTCAGGTTGTGGACACCATAGATAGCACATACTGATGTAGCCCAGATCCAACATACTGATAGCACTAAGGCTTTGTTCTCTTCATCAGCAAGATGCAGTGATTCCTCTCTGTGCTTTTCATCAGGTTCAATCAACTTTTTCACAAACAAGGTGATTTACTCCTGTGCAACAATCAAAGACACTTGAGTGTATCTTGGTCAATCATAAATGACCAATCTAAATCCCGCTAAAACATTCAGTTACTATACAAATTCTATATAGTTTATATTCTTAAAAGCATATATGCATTCAATTCAATTTAGTTTATGTTTATATAGCGCCTTTCACAGTAAGGTTGCCCCAAGGCACTTAACAAAGATGTGTGACAGTACATGACATTACAGTACAGAAAGAGAAAAAGCCGGAAGACAATGGAGGAGAGGAACCAAAAACTCCCCAGTAAGGAGAGAAAAAAAACCTCTAGGGGTCCAAGGTCATATGCATGAAAAGAGTGGTCCGTTTCTTTAATGCTAACATGATACATGTTTTGCTTTGTTTTTCTTAATGGTCACAGGTAAAAAGGCACACAAACGACTCCTTTCTCAGCCTCATGTACCCTGCTCTACCACTAACAAGTACACAGGAGATGTCCAGGACATCACAGACTGCATTCCAGTGCCATTCCATGGCCTCTCGGAACGGACAGGATGGTGTGTGGGATTTCTCATAGGAAGCATCACAAGAGGAGCTGAGAAAAACAACCCAAAGATGTGCCAAACACCGACAGCACTGAGTTGTATCAAAAGGTTTCCTGAACTTTTTTTTTCAGTTGCTGTTATTAATATTTTCCCAGTGCCACAGGTTCGGCGATACAAACCATATCCAAATGCATTTTCTACCCGTTGTATAAAGAGCAGGTCTTTCTCATATTGTTCTCCTATTTCTCAACTTTTGAAAAGCTTAGAAAGTAATAACGTTATTCAGTCTGTTTTCCACAGAACAAGCTTTTTTTTTTGTAAATTGCCTATGTGAATGCAAAATGATATCATAGAGACCAAACAATGGAAAACCCATTTAACGCAAAATCAGAGGAATTAAGACTTGACTCAACTAAAGAAAGAAGAATACAAATGATTCAGAAAACTTCCTATACCAGAACAGGCCCCTGCCTTCAGGCGGAGCTCGTTACAGGCCCATCTATACATAACCTTTTCTCACCCCCCATGTACTGCACATTGTTTCTAATCTATAACTTACAACACACTCTTCATAGGCTCCATACATACCGTAATTCACTCACAGTTTTTTCATTTCAAACACAAACGTCCCATACACCCTACGCTGTGAGAGATTCGGGAATGGACAGGCTGCCCGTGCTTATTTTAGGGTACAGAAGTGGATTTCCTTACTATGCTTATGGCACTCTGATCCTACAGCTGCAAGTTCGTCACTCTGTTGAGTGACCTTTGCAGCCAAATCATCTAGCTTCAGTCATTCACCTTGCCTTCTCTACAACAACCACAGCTCCCAGTCTCACCCTTGCCAGTTCCTTTCTTTGTCCCTGAGGAGGAGTCCCACTAGACACTAATCTCTGCCAGAGAGCCAGGAACTGAACAGGTACATTCTGCCAATCTACCTGGACAGATCTGGGGAGCTTGCAGCCACATTTCCTGCTCCCTGGTCTTCAGCCACAATTTTTCCATCTTCCCAAGCATTATGAGGCTGGAGACCAGTCGCTGTCCAGATGCAAGCCCTTTTCTGTCTGAACACCTCTGGGCTTCTAGATAGTCATGTTGTTCTTTTCTGGGCGAGAATGTCTGTGACTGACAGCCCCTCAGCTATCCAGGCCACGCCTCCAAATCTTCTATGACCAACAGCCCCTCAGCTATCCAGGCCACGCCTCCAAATCTTCTATAACCGACAGATCCTCAGCTATCCAGGCCACGCCTCTAAATCATCTGTGACTGAAAGCCAATCAGCTATCCTGGAACACACCACTGAATCATCCGTGACCGACAGCCCTTCAGCTACCTCAGCTATGGTCCCAGTTCACTGCATGTAGGAACAACTTGTTTGCCTGTGGCTGGAAGGTTGCAGGTTCAAATCCTGCAGCCAGCAGAGGAATCCTACTCCTTTGGACCCCTGAGCAAGGCCCTTAACCCCAGCTGCTCCAGGGGTGCTGTATAAATGGCTGACCCTGCGCTCTGACCCCATGCTCCTTTGTCCCCATCTGTGTGCCTGTGTGCCTCATGGAGAGCAATCTGGAGTATGCAAAAAGACAAATTCCTAATGCAAGAAATTGTATATGGCTAATAAAGTGATTTTATATTGTAACACCTTGAAAACAACCAATACAAGTTGTTCCCAAGTTATTGATAAACATAACCAGTAGACATGGTAAGGCCATCCCACAGTGACTCCATATTCTCATCTTGGTTGGCACAGAGAAGTGCCTCTCCTGGTACAGCATGCTACAGTCTGTACGGATCACAAGTTTCATGGTTGCTTGTTATACATGTGTTTGGACAGATGTGTTTGTCCAAGTTTGTAATTATAGTGGTTATTAAGTGATGGAATAACACACATTATTATGCATTTAGAATTAGTATTTTCTTAATGGGATTCAAGAAAGTGATAAATCTATGACCTGGATGGTTGAGTCATGGCTCTGAAACATTTAACAACTGATTAAACAACTATAACGTATATTGACACGGGCACTACAATATAGAAGTCGTTTCTGTTGCATATAATTCATTATCAGAAAAGTTGTTTAGTGTTAGTAAAGGTTGCAGCGATTACATGTCATGTTTTTGATTTTAATGTTAGTCTTTAGTCTTTGAAAGTGGACAAGGTTTGATTTGTATCATTTGTGTAGAATTTATAAGGAGACTGTGGAGTTTTCTACCAGAACTTTAATGGGCGAAGAGTTTTATAACTTTATAAACACCAATGAAAAATGTACCGTTTTCAAAATGAAAAATAACTTTTAAAGCCATCGTGTTTCACACTTTGGTCTTTGGGGTCATGTTTTTATAAATCATAAAAAAAACTTGTATCTGTAAAAAGACATCAATAGTAAAAAGGACAGAGTTAATTTTTTTATTTGAGTGAAAGCAGTAGTTGCCAATAACCTGATGCCATTTTGTTTCCCTTAGTTTAACCAAACAAGGTCCCCTCTTGGTTACTCTCCTTATCGGTTCAGGACACAATTTCATCTAAACTACTAGTACAAATTTGTAGTTACAGCCACTTACACTTGGCTGTGCCTTCCTTAGAGTGCTGATCAATCTGAGGAAGATGGAATATTCAGTCAGAAAGAAATACAACTTTATTCATTTTTGTGTTTGCTCTGAGTGCAGGAGTCAAAGCCTTGAAATTGTCATTGTGACAGTCTTCCAGATTTGTATTTGAATATTTTTAAATAGGTCTATGTAATTGCAAAAATTGCTGCCAACTATCCATGGTGTGAAACCTACAGTATTTACCACTGCTAGCACATTTTCTGTAATTCTACATCTTCGGTGACTAGTGAAATGTC